TTCACTTCTCCGGGATAAACAGCCAGCCAGCGTGGTAAATATTTCATCACGCACTTTACCACATACCTAGATGTTCTCTGACACATCCCACACCTAATGTTGCCACTGTGAGATGAAGATTAAGCTTTAAAAAGAAAGAAAAAAACTTGGCTCAAGCACCGAGCGACCGCATCCTACTCAACCACCGGCGAGTGTGTTTTGCCAACCACCGCCTTGCTCGTGCACCGGTGACGTCACGCTGTGAAGTACCCCGGTAGAGGTCTATTCTTGAAATTTCTGTGGCGTTGATTATTTGCGGCAATACACATTTCCTGTGAATTAATTTCATGGTTACTCAAAAAGGTCTTTCAGTGCCCCTTTAATAATGAGTTGTTTGAAACTGTCCTCATTGCGTGTGGTAAGGCTTGAAGCAACACACGCACCTCGTGGAAACGTTTCACAGTGACGTTCAGCGATTCGTGTAGATAATGATAAACCCTACGCATGAGCGACCACGGCTGGCTCCCAAACAACATCCTCTCTCTCTGAACAAAACTGAGGCATATATATATGGGAAATAAGCGTATACCTAAGGGCTCGTTTTTCCGTGTTTTTGACACAATATAATGAGATGTGTGTGTGTGTGTGTGTGTGTGTGTGTGTGTGTGTGTGTGTGTGTGTGTGTGTGTGTGTGTGGTGTGTGTGTGTGTGTGTGTGTGTGTGTGTGTGTGTGTGTGTGTGTGTGTGTGTGTGTGTGTGTGTGTGTGTGTGTGTGTGTGTGTGTGTGTGTGTGTGTGTGTGTGTGTGTGTGTGTGTGTGTGTGTGTGTGTGTGTGTGTGTGTGTGTGTGGTGTGTGTGTGTGTGTGTGTGTGTGTGTGTGTGTGTGTGTGTGTGTGTGTGTGTGTGTGTGTGTGTGTGTGTGTGTGTGTGTGTGTGTGTGTGTGTGTGTGTGTGTGTGTGTGTGTGTGTGTGTGTGTGTGGTGTGTGTGTGTGTGTGGTGTGTGTGTGTGTGTGTGTGTGTGTGATGACAATATATACAAAATAAAACAACATGAAACGACGAACAATGCAAACAGCATAACTGAAAAAGAATACAAAAAGCTGTAGTACATAAAATAGGGACATTGAAACAAGGTGAAGCTACAGAAAGGAACAGTAATACTAAGCATGCATAATGTTTGCTTTTAGTTTTCTATTATATTCATACAAGTTTCTTGCATTTTTTATAGAAGTTTGTAGTGTGTTCCAAAATGATAGAAATGAAACTTCAACAGCCAGTCTACTATAATTAGTTGGTACCTTAGCCAAAAGAACATTATTGTTACGCGCAAATCTAGTATTACTATGGGCAACCAGGTCAGCAGATGAGAAGCAGATTGGGCGTACTGCCTCGGTTATGTGATTATAGAATGTCATACCTAAGTTGTAATTGAGGAGCTCTGAAATGGTTAAGATGTTGTTATCATGAAGTACGCATTTACAGTTAGAAAAACGTGATGATTCTCATGGATTGGTTCTGTAGAACTTGAAGGGAAGGCGAATGAATGGTATAGGTGCTACACCAGCACATTGTCATAATTGATATATGTGTGTGTGTGTGTGTGTGTGTGTGTGTGTGTGTGTGTGTGTGTGTGTGTGTGTGTGTGTGTGTGTGTGTGTGTGTGTGTGTGTGTGTGTGTGTGTGTGTGTGTGTGTGTGTGTGTGTGTGTGTGTGTGTGTGTGTGTGTGTGTGTGTGTGCGTGCGTGCAGCTTTATCAGTCTAAGTACTTGACTAATTTCTATATTTGAGCCATTCTATAAGCAGGTTCAAATATTACACTTTCACATTTGTAAACAACCCGGATTTTCGTTCAGGCAGCTATTCAACTTGTACAACAGGAATAGGACTATTTCTAACTTTTATGGTAACCAGATATTGATAGAGGAATTTATAAAATACGTCTTTTATCCAGAAACTTGTGGGGGAATGTAACGTCACCCGGCATTCCTTTTCTTTAAAATGCCAGAATTTAACTCAAGTTTCCCCCTCGGTGAGCCTCGATACCTCAGAAGGGAAAATAAGCCAACAGTATCGCGGCTGTACAGCCGTTCTTACTCCTTTGTTTCCTTTACATTTTCCCAATGTGCCCTCTTCATAACAAAGCACTAGTCGAGCCTAACTGATTATCGAGTAAAGCGGCATGCACATGGCTATAAAACCACTTGGTAATCATGAGCCCAGGGGTTCTTATACAGTGGTGAGCGAAGCGGTCACTATGCGTAAACATTGCAGCTGACTGCGCACGTAATTTGCCTTTTATTATTACTCTTGATTATTTGATCCTCGATTATAGCCCTGCAAATAACTTCTTCTCGTTCCTTCCTTATGCCTGTTTTTTTTTAGCGTTTTTACGCACGCACCGACGTTCTCACGCTCTATCACAACAGCTACGCCATGCTGATGCCGCTGGACACATGAGTTTTTGCATTCTGCTCTTGCCCCAGGCACTACCACAGCTATTAAACGTTGGTAAGCTTCTTCCCACACCACATTATCAAAGCTAAACTGACTTCAAGTGCCCTGTGTGGAAACAGAGTGCGAAAAACTATGGACCATCTCTCCGAAGGGAACCCTGATAGGATGCGAAGCAGCAGCGGTGTGCACGGCGTTGACCCGCTTGAAACGGGCGTCAATGCGCGTTAAAAAAAAACGGTTTGAAGCGAAACTCGATGTAGCGTTGACTAGAGTAAGCGTTTATTTGAAATGCAAAGGCACGGGAGGCGGGATGCGTTGAAGACGCTTGCGCTCGGCTTCCTGTACTCGCGTCTCCTTGGTGTTATCCGCACGCCGTCTCTACTCTCGAACGCGATCGGCGTTCTTGACTCGCATCTCGTCGGTGTCGTTGGTGTTACGCTGCCGCCGCTTACGTTCAGCTTCCCTGGCTCGCGCCTCGTTGGTGTCCCAGGCGCGACGTCACCATTCGCGAACGCGATCGGCTTCGCTAACCCGAAACGCCGGCGACGGCCGGGAAAGGTACGCCCACACTTGCGGGAAGCATGCCCCGGCGGCGTCGCAAGCAGCGGCGCGCTGTCCACAATTGCCGGCGCCCGCGGGACCACGGCCGGGCTAGACGACGGCGCGCGAGGGCGCGCTTGCGGGAGGCACGTGTGTATGAAGGCTCCCTACTATCCGCTAGGGTTCACGCATGGAGGAAACCTACTACCCACGGCTTCTTCCGACTTTCCGGGGGTGACGCTTCTTCTCGCCGACAGATGGAGAGAGGTGGCGCGGGTGAGGAGATGATGCCGACGCGAGGAGTGGGCTCGAGCGTTGCGAGCGGTGGAGAGGGTGAAGCGAGTGAGATGACACGCAGCGAGCGGCGACAGACTAGGGAGAAAGTGACGTCACGCGCGCGCACTGCGAGGGAAGGCGCGGCCTACTTGGCACGGCCCTGGTGCGGAGGGACAGGGTTACACAGGCTAGTCAAAGAGCTGCTTCGCATCTAAAACTGCAGCGCGTAGCAGACGCCCCTCGCTTTCCGCGCGCTCCCGAGTGCGGAAAGCCCACGGGTGCGGCGACGCAGCGGCGCGGCAGTTCACCGCAAAAGGCCCCACGCGGGAGACGGCACTTGGGACACTCCCCCATTTTAGGTCACTCTAACCAAAGGGGGAGATCGAGCGGCCATGACTGTTCGGACGCAGCGCGGTCACGTTTAGTGATATTTATTGCCATTCTTGCAAACGTGAAAGGTGGTCTTGAGCCTACATTTCTCATAGCTTATGAAATATTCGGCTTGTAAATGGCGGCTACATATTCGAGTGTAATTCCAATATGCATTAAGCATTACACCTGTGACATCATACGAAGTCACAGATCATAAAATTTTGTGACACATTGGAAGGTCACAAAACTTGACGGCGTCATATATTACATCTTCACATGGTCGAAATAAGCCGATCACGGGGGCAGTGCATAAATCTCTTGGGGGGGGGGGGCAGAAAGTTAGCTTTCTCTCCAATCCTTTTGAGCCAGTGAGAAACCACACGGTGCGCAGAAATATCCCGGAGGGAAGCACGAAACATTGAATGGGAAAAAAAAAAGATGATTTTTGCATTTCAGTCATCGCAGGTGAATGCATAAGGTAACCTGCGAGTTTCTTCTCTCCTTTATCACTAATGAGAAATAAGAAGAAAACGCAATCAGATTTCTTTCCATCAGGTATGCAGAGTTGTACAGAGCAGTATTATATACTGAGGCATGCAAATGGTGAGGTTGCAATAGTCTGAAAGAAAAAACAAAATGCGAATGCTGTAAAACTCGAATGCAAATATCGAACCGTTAGCACGGCCTGATAGACTGCTTGCGGAATACGTACAGTGGGCATGGAAAGAATCACAAATATTATGTATCTACCTTCTTTGCTTTTTAGTATTTGTTTTTAAGGGATTTTAGCCAGGATGATTAAATAAAAGGCAGAATTATGCGTTGTACAATCAAAGCCGATCTAGCTTTTTTTTTGCTACTACGCTCGAAGCCCGGTGAAAACAGTGCGTCGAGCGCTGTTACTTTTAATCCACCATGTACCCGTGAAAGCCAGCAAGAAGCACAAATGCAAATTAACTCGCATAAAAACACGATTTTGCGAGCTTCTTAATACACGCAGCCGTGCAGCGCCAGCTTTCCGCAGTCTACTCGCGCAGTGTTGTCACGCGGTGCAGAGGCGGAGCGCGCGCTCGACGGCCTGAAGAGAGTGTTCGCTCAGGCACTGAAAAAAAAAAAAAAGCAGTGGTGCTTGCCCAGCCTACTTAAGCAACGAAACATTCATGCATGGTTGGAGTACCTAGAAGACTTACCCCTCTACAAATACCAAGGTGTAAAAAAAATGTCTCCAGACCACCCAGGCTTTATCGACACCATGTCTTGATGTGGCACTATGAACTTGAGAAAGTGCACATTTGCAGTTACATGCAGCAGCTTGATTGGCACTGATTCCACCATCTAATCCTTTGCATCTGGTTCAAAAAGACACCCAAACAACAAGTAAACCTCCGTCATATATTTATTGATCAAAATGTGCTTGCATGACAAACTGTTTTCAATCTACCTTCATTTTTCTATGAAAAACAGGCCTTATGCTGCACAGCTATTGCCAAAAAAGAAAAATCTAGAGTCATCCCCAACTCAATGCAAGAGAAAGCGTGCAGTGCTGTCCACTTGCCCGAACTCCATGATGAATAAGCAAACCTGGGGGAAGGCGAGACAAAAACAACCAAGCAATGGCAAATAAATGTCTCTTCCAGAGTCTTTACAGCCGTAAACTTATTTCATGATAGATTTCAATAACTGCTCTATGTACACACAATACATTCTTCAAAAGCTCATCAACAGCACACTTTATAAACAATGCACCTTCTTTGCGCAATAAAAAGCTACGTCTTCTCACGATGCAGTAAAAAAGGCTGCATAAAATTGCATCCACAAGCAGATTAAACAATCCAACTGCACATAAGGATGAGACAGCAGCCTACAGATAGTACCACGTCGATGTTGCAGGTAATTGCACACAGGCAATTTCATTAATTCATAATGCAGTACCTGCTCTTTGTAATCATTAGATGCAAGGTTGCAGCCTCCCGAACCTCACCGGTTCCCACACCACATCCACACATGCACACCACTGCTTTCTACATATGGTTAAGTCAGCACAAGGTGTAGCCGAAGCAGGAACACCTCATGTTGTCTATCAATTCAATGTCACACTCTTGCACTTGCTTGTGCTACACACGCTTAAAAGGAGAAAAAAAACATTGCAAGAGGTGTACATCTACAGCGACACCCAGCATGCATGAAAGTGCGGAGAGAGCAACTGCTGCATCACGTCTAAAACCAACGTATCGAAAATTCTAACAACTTCTTAAGTGTACCACTGCCTCTCAAGAGTTTTTCACTATTTTTTTTAAGAGAACAAATACATTAATGCTCAAATAACTAAGAAAGTTCTCCACAAGAAGGGTTAAAAAAGGATGGCCAAAATGGTACACAATGAGAACATCAAAATACAGCAACACACTACTGTCATGTTTTGCAAGTTATTGCAGCTGCACAGTCAATGCTGCAACACAAGCCGTAACAGTGCCATCGAGACCAGAGCCGTTTGCCTTATTAACAAGTATAGCACAGATCCCTCAATGCGCACGCCCTTTGTGTACCATATAAAATCAGCGACCATCAACGCACGAATTGCGCCACACTTGAAAACCGTCACCACATAGGTCACAAGACAAAACCTTGATGCAGTTGTCAATGTACACAGACCTGTACAGTGCTCTTGGGACAACGAACAAAGTATGCACCTGAACAAGAGACTTACACAAGGCTCTCAACTGGAGACCAATTTCCCTTACCACTGTAAGCCAGATGACAGCAAGAGAATCACAGCAAAGATGCAGGCAATTCCAAACTTAACATATTCACAAAAGCTCTCTTGCAATACTTTCACCATAATCAACTTCACAATTTATGTATAGTACTGTACAGAAAGCAGTCCCCTCTAAATCTATGCACTCTTGCCAAACATCCAGCAGGGATAGAGAGGCAATTAAAGAAAAGCTCAAGACAAGAAAACCTCTGTATGTACACAAACAAGTGCTTAGGAGGAATAGCTGGACATGATGTAAGGCAACGCAATAGAATAGTGGTGACTGCTTCCGTGTATTCCCGGGGGCTGACACAGGGAGGACCTGGCTTTGGAGTGCACCCACTGCAGCAGGGTCAGACACGCATGCGTGACAATTGGGCCAGCCGGTCACACGATGGCATCTGGTAATCCAGAGCTCGCTCCTCCAAGCTGGGATCTCGTAAGCTTTTGGCTCGCCAAAGCAGGCTCTCTTCTGCAAGGAAATAAGCAAAAAAGCTTTGCATTAGCCCAGTGTTGTCTTCACACAAGCACCTATGAATCCAGGGAATTCTACTACATAACTGAGACCAAGCACAGATTTTGAAGACCACTCAAAAGACAGACAAGGACCTCTACGATTTGCAGTGTTTTCAATGACAAAGCATTTCGGCATGTGCAGACTTTTCTCAAAAATGAAATTCACATCCTTCAGTCTCACTATAAGTGGTTTTCGCACTTTAGTCCCATTATTAATACCTAGGGCTAATGAACTGATATATTTGTAAACAAGCTAGAATAAAATGCATAATAAAGGCAGACTTTAGTTAAACTTGTATTTAGTGATCAAAATGCCTATAGTGAATTTTATAATGAACGGAGCTTTTCTAAACAAGTGTAGTGCAGCCTGACCTTTGCAAGATAAAAGCATTCATGTGGAAGAAAGCTGGTGCTGCCCTCCTGATTATGAACTTTTTAGTGAATACAATGTAGAGATTATCATTAGCATAAATCCATTTATCTCCACGAAGTGAATCATGACAAGTGGGCAAAGCTCTAGGTATCATATGGGCGAGTAATCGAGCGTTGACCCTTATAATGTAAATTGTCTGACATAAAGTGATATAACGAGTCGACGACAAAGCATAGTTTTAAGATCAATAATGTCTACTGAAGTTGCCGACTACTAGTATAAAAGTTTTGTGCTTGTAAGTGTTTTATATTGCTTTGTCACAATCATGATTGTTGCTTGTCTATCGTAACCCCCCCCCCCCCCTTTTTTTTTCACATGCACACGTTTCCACTAAAGCAACGGTTCCGTATATACTGTAACAGCGAACAATAAGACTCTATGACAAAGCTAGGTCCTAAGGCCCATAATGTGTACATTGAAGTCACCGACTATTTTTGTGCTTCTAGGTGTTCAATATTGTTCTGTCACATTTATGATTGATATTGGTCCATTGATAAACCTTTTTTGTGCCTCACATCCATGCATCTCCCGGTGGCGGACCCCGCGGACGTGAATGGACAAGTCTCAGCCCTAAGGTGTTTGACCCCTAAAACAGATTTTTCAGCCTCCCCTCGAATCTGAAATATTAAAAAGATTTCTTTTTTTTTTTTTTCTCGGCAAGGAAATGACACAAATAAAATATGGCAGTACCACACACTACATAAGACAGGCTATATATATACATTTATGTCCATTTCATTATTGAATTATTTTATATGTTTATATGACATTTTCAATATTCTTTTGGTTTTCTCAGCTGTAATTTCCCAAGTCGCGTGTAATTCCCGTGTCATGCCATTTGGCTTGGCAGGGTACCAGAAAGATTAACAGCGTCTACAGACCTGCGTCAATAGCATTAGTCTTCGCCAGAAGCACCACTGACACTGTCTCTTTGTAGAAACTGTTACCTTAGAGCAGGTAACAAGGACATCAACTGAACTTTCTTACTTCTGGTGGAGATAATGTAGTCAGGGCAGCTTGACAGCAAGATTCTTTATCTACTCTGTGGTGTTCTCTTCCTCTTCAAGAATAATTACTTGCCTAGCAATGTTCACATGGCAGAAACATCATTGTCACTTTGACCCACTGATTAACATGTAACATTACCATAGATGCCCGACAGATTGGATTTTCTGCACTACTTAGAGCAGAGGTAAGCAACCTGCGCATGCCTGCTAGCACTGTTATGCAGCCCCCGTGTGTTGCCTACCGGATTTCCCTTACTTGTGGCAAGTGCTATATCGGATAGACCAGCAGATGCATAAATGATCCATTGCGTGAGCATAATAACAAAGTAAATAGCTTTGCTCCAGACCGTTTTCTTTCCCTTCATTGCCACAGATGTCAGTGCACACCAAGATTTAAATAAACGGCCATCATGAGTAGAAGTAGGTGCGAGATGACGCAGTTGATAATGAAGGCTCGCAGAATTTCAGCGTTTGGCGACACTCGTGTGAGCAGTCCATCAGTGGTGTTGACAAATAAAGAACTAGATTACATGTATTCGCGATAAACAGTTTCTTGATTACACACTAGGAGAAATAAAATGAGATGATAGTGTTGTTATGTGTTGATGTATGAGCGTAGATTATAATTTTTTATGGTTGTGAGAGCTATGCACATGTGACGTATGACATTGTGCGAGTACATATACTAGCAAGATCAGAGTAATAAACTGCTGTCGAAAGTTAGCACTGTATTGTCTTGAATATGCCTTCTTTTGTCCATGTCCTTTGTCTGCGCTACCATCAATTATCATGCTACCATACCAGCAAGCCCAAATCGCCACCTTCATAAACCCCGGCACCACTTCAGAGCCTCCACACCCCCTGTCACTTCCTGTTTTCACAGCAAGTTTATTATCGACTGTAAAGAAGCTTTAGGTGTTAAAGATGCGAGGTTACTTTTTTTTTCAGTTTAAATAAACATGATATCTGTTCCAGTTGCGTACATTTTTGTCAACTCGAATTTTTTGTTCTCGACCTGCAAACCCCTCCGATAAAGGCATGTCATGTTTCTTCGCGAGCCAAATGCACTATGTTGTTGCCAATCTTGCCCGACCAAGGCGCCGATGCGGTGGCGCTATTATTGATACCGTGATGCTGTCGGCAAAGCGTCATAAAAAATACTGTTATTTTTGACACGCTGTTGGTGACACCTCCTCCTGTACACGCCATAGCTACACCTAGTTTAGCAATCGTCACGGCAGATCGTAGCAATGTCCGGCTCAGGAAGCAGCGTGCGCGCGTTAGGAGATGGCAGTTCTCGCGACTTCATTGCCTATGCAGCTGATGTTATCAATGCGTTGAATAGCAGTGAATCAGAGAATGACGACCTTTTGTTGATCCCCCCAAAAAAGTGGACTTCATTATTCCAAGTTGACTACAATTTTGCGTACAGGTTGACTGATTATTCGTCGGCCCCCGAAGTTTGGAGACGCATTTTATGAAAAAAAAAAAAAAACTTATAATCGACAATGTACTGCAACTCTACTATCAAAGGACTGGAAGCAACGTGCAGTCTGCAGGCAAACACTGCAGTTTACATTTCTTTGTTGACGCACTTAATCCTAGGAATGATTCACCAATGTGACTACGTGTAGACACCGCAGTCGGCTTGTAAGCATGCATAGTGTCGAAAACGAAAAGTGAACGACACGATGGCGTCAAGGTCAAGACAAAGACACTGAAAGCTACAGCACTGTCACAGTTTCTTTTCAGATTGTGTCAACTGGCGTTAGTTTATTAAGTGAAGTAAAGAGACTTGTGCGGCAATTATACAGCATCTCTGCCAGTGTGGGACGACAGAGCAGTGGCACCCACAAGCAAAGGTTAGAAGGGAGGAAGAAAGGACATGCCAGCAGCAGCAAGATCGCTGGCTTGAAGGACAAAGGTCCTGTTCTCTAGCCACCTCATATACACTTGCACACACACCTGAGCATGTGCTGTCGCCAGGGCCAGTGTGTGCTGTGTGTATTTCATCGCTTTGTGCAGTCATAAGCGGGGCTACCACACAAGATGCTTGCGGCATCTGCTCAAGCTAACGTTCCTCGTTTCCGATGACCGGGCATCTGAGGTCCTTGGAGATATCCGCTCGAATAAATGTGCATTGGCTGCCACTGTTGACAAGAATGCGTACGAGATGCCTTCGTGACCCGCAATCAACCCACCCTCATCCTGTTTACAGCAGCTCAGGACGCTTGGGGCAGATGTCACTAAAGGCTTGTTTGTTACTCACACGATGATACGTGGCTCACCCTGATCGACTGTCGTCGTGCTTGTACGGGTTGGTGCAGCTGGCCAGAACTCGCAGAAGATCGTTAAATATTGACGATCTCAATCTCAATGTCTGCAATCCTCAGCAACAAAAATCAACGTTATCTCAGAAGAGCATTCTATTGACAAAACATCGCCTTTTACACGCCTTCACCCATTCCAAAACAAAGATCAGATACTTCGGGTTGGTGGGTGCTTGATGCGGATGGAATCTTCTGAATGTGTCAAACACCCGATTGTACTGACAAGCGATCACCCCTTTTCAAGGCTACTAGTAATCCGAGCCCACCGCGAAGTTCTACCCGGAATCGTGTGCAATACCCTGACTCAGTCATGAGAGCACTTCTGGGTGTGCAAAGCACGAATCCTGGTAAAAAAATTGACGAGAGAATCTTACTTGTGCAAACAATCTACCATTGCACCAGGACACGCTCTCATAGCTCTTCTCGGAAAGCATCGCGTGACACCAACGCACGCATTGGAAGTGGTTGGAGTAGATTTCGTGGGACCTCTCTACGTAAAAACAACGTTGGGCGAGACGAAAAACTACATTGCTCTATTCACGTGCACAACTTCAAGAGTGATCCACCAAGAACTTGTGTCCAGCATGGCATCTGAGGCATTTTTGATAGTTTTATGTCGGTTTTGTGCCAGACGAGGACTTCCCCGGGTGATTTATTCAGATAATGTGAAGGCCTTTAAAAAAACGTCAAGAGACTAGCGAAAGCTTTGCGGCATGCCGTTACAAGATGACTTCACCTGACACCTGAGCAGTAAAGGCTAATACAGTCGAACCTCGATATATCGAACGGCGCGGCGATCGCGAAATAGTTCGATATATCCAGAATTCGATATAAAAAATCACAAAAAAAAATGCGTCAACAGCTTGCTGAAAACAACCAACCATTCAAGCGTGGTGCAGTAAATACTCACTTGAAGATTCAAACATAGTATTTATTGTGTTGGTTTAAAATATTGAAAAAGAGTAGCCTGCTTTTTGTTGGCCATGGCGTGTTTGACGACTGCGTCCTCAATATAGTCCAGGCGGTCCATAAGTGATAGGCCGGTGCCTTCAATCGCGCCGCCACTGCGGCGCACAAGGGCCAAGGCAGCTACGACCTCAGCTGATGTCGTGAGCGGGGCACGATCAGCGCTTGCGGGATCCACCTCGGCAGAGTCTTTATTTGGCCGGCTGCTCAGCAGTAGCTTCGGCGACAATCTCAACATCCGTGAGCTCCGCCGTTCGGTGTTAAGCCTGTCGCGCACCGCAGCGCGCAACAGGCCTAACTCCGAACGCACGAACACTGCGAGCACAACGACCGATGCCTGCCGATGCTAGGGGGGAGGAGCTTGCAACAAGTGCGCAGTGTGCCGTTGACACCATAGAGACTGCAACGACTGCAAGCTGCAAGGCTGCGGCGCGAGTCCGGGTGTAAAGCGCGCACATGGCGCGCCCATGCCGGCTCGCCTGACTGCTTTCCCTTTCCCGGCGGCAGCGCGGGCCGCGTCCGAGACGGTCGTCAGCATTCTTTCCCTCCTATACTTTCCTCCTCAATCTTTACCTCTTACTCCCCCTTCCCCCGCGCGAAGCCGTGTCGGTGCCTTCCTATTGAAAGACAACAACAGCTCCGCGCTTTTCTCTTTACTTTCCTCATTCAAGAACCTCTACCGCAAGGCTGCGGCGCGCGTACGCCGCTACGTTAAAGTGGCACTCTCGACGCCATCGATGTGTGCAGCATTCGTAAACGCCCGCCGCTCTACTGCTACATTCGAGAGTTGCGGGAAAGCTCGCCGCCTGTCAATGGAGCGCGGGCGGTTTGGGTTGAATGAGTTCGATATATCCATTATATGTCAAACTTTGTTCGAAATAAAAAATCAATAATGCATGCGATTTCCAGCGTGATACAAGAACCGTTCGATATAGGCAATAATTCGATATATCCGTGTTCGATATATTGAGGTTTGACTGTAATGGAAGTTTATTGTGCCAAACACTCCATAGGGAAGTCGATGTTGGAAGGCGCTGGGAAGAACTGTGAAGACACCGCTTTGCAAGATTCTCCAAAAAACATGCCTCAACTTCGAAGAACTTATGACGGTGATCACGGAAGCTGAAGCCGTCCTTGATTCAAGACCTCCCACATTTATTGAATTCGAAGATGGCCAACCATGCACTTCGACACTGGCTGATCTGTTAATTGGCCGAAGATTCCTGGTGATACCACAAGGCAGCATCGAGCAAACAGAGATCTCTATACGTAAGAAGGCCACCCGGAGACTTCAGTACAGAAAGCGCCTGACAGAAAACTTTTGGAAGCAACGGACCAAAGAATACTTGCTCCAACTGAGATCAGCACACTTCTGCGAAAAAGGGTGTGCAAAAACGGTTAAGGAAGGCGATGTTCTACTCGCACATGCTGAAAGCCTTCCACGTCAAATATGGCAACTCGCAAGGGTGATCGAAGTCTACAAAAAAGACAACGATCACGTTTGCTCGTGCAAGATAAAACGACAAGACGGCCTTGTGACTATGAGGGCAATACAAAGACTGTACCCGCTAGAACTACAGGTGTGACACCACTGCTCAGCCGGGAATGTTGAATTTCCTGCACTCATCGCACAAGAAGAATAAAAACTCCAAGCAAGTGAGCTCGTGAGCTCTTTGGAAGAAGAGGACGAGAAACATTACTTCTACGTTCTGGGCTCATGCAGACGCTAATAAATGTCTGTCTGAATTCTTAAAGCCGTGTTGGTTGTTCAGTTGGCCACATATTTTCCAGAAGTCATATAGCGATGAGAACCAATTTTTCCACGTGGTCTTGCACAGCTCACAAGATCTGACACACGTGTAGTCGTCTTTAAAATGCTGCTTTGAAAGACAGAAAAGATGGTGCTAAAGCATAAAGTCTGTCTATTGTGGCTTTGTCAACCGTCATGATTACTCTGTAGGGTAACACCAGGCCAAACAATAAACTTTAAATGTGTGAGAACGGTACTGCTAGCACAAGAACACTCACTATTGGCATTTAGATATTTCAGAGGTTGAAATGAGTTGGCTGAACACAATCATTTGTTTTCAATTTTCTTGGATATTTCGTGTTTCTCGTTTTCTTTTTTTTTCCTTCCCCGATTTACAACAGCAGTCTAGAGACGCTGCTGCCCACTGTAAAGCAGGAACCGAAGAACCCAAAATAACCTAAAACCGTAATGTCGCTGTTGATTCACCTCACATGTACTGCACTGCCAAAGGTCTCCACATTGTCTCGCTACTACTGCAATCAATGATTACACAGCGTAAGAGTGCTTCAACGAGGTATCATCACATAGCTAGTAATTTACAACAAATAAAGCCAACACGTCTCCACATTTTGTCACACAGAAGTAGCTGCGCCAGTGTTTAAGCACTAAACAACTGAAGTATTGAAGCTAATACAGTACACAAAATATGAAACCTCAGCAATTTGAAATCATTTGATATAATCTACAATTACACATTTCACTATTTATTAGAACATGTTTTAAGGGTGTAAGTACTGGTAAACGCCCCTCATTTGTTGTTCTAGGCATGCAATTTACCAGCCCAATCTAGAACATGTTCTAAGAATGTAAGTACTGGTAAAGGTCAATCATTTGATGTTCTAGGCATGCAATTTACCAGCCCAACCTAAAACATGTTGCAAGAGTGTAAGTACTAGTAAAGGTCACTCATTTACCAGCCCAACCTAGCGCAGCATCTTTTCTTTTTTAGCATTTCTTTAAAAACAAAACCAGAAACTGACTGTAGTTCTTCTCCCGGAAACAGGAGCTCCGTAGATTCGCTATGTGGTCGGCTTCCACGTCCATTTCTATTCGGTAGATGTTGCTCTTGTGTTCTGCCATGAAGTTCTCTTTCACATAGTAAGACAGTTGCAAATTGATAGTCTTACGCTCGTACTGATGTTTCCTGCAGACAAGTAAAAAGAAAAAATGTCATATGCTCAATCATAAAGGTTGTATACCACTCAGGCAGGCCCAGAGGAAGAGCACAAGAATATACAGACTACAGTTATGTAAACTTTTTTTTACATACCGTATTTACTCGCATAATCCTCACACTTTTTTTGACGGAAAACCGATGAAAGTTGGGGGGTGCGAGAATTACGCGGAGAAAACTTTCTACGAAAACGTAGTGGCCGCAAATCGGGATTATCACACCAGCAACTAACAGCAAGCTTTAAGGAGTACTAATTAAAACTTACCTCAACAATAAAAGCAGAGGTTCAACACAAGAGAAGATTTATTTGAGACAGAAAAAGTGGAAGCAAATAGTCGAGAATTAGAATACCATACGCAAAGCTTGCGGACGTTGCGGGCGTAGTGGTAGCGTTCGTCGCTCAACAGGAGCCCTCAAAAGGTAAGCGTGGGACGTCAGCATTGGGCTGATGGCTATTTAACAGAATTGTCCGCAGTTTCCTTCTTAAGAAATAAAGTTTATCATCAATCCCAGTTTTAGGCACAAGGCCGGCGCAACGCGTCTGTGTGGCTTTCTGCAGCCATCACTAGTAGCGAACACACTCGTAGACTCCGAAGGGCCTACCGGCGGCCCTGTTGTCATTCTTTAGTGCATGATGTATCAGTTGCAACTTGAAAGCAGCCGTACAGCTTCAGCATCACCTCATAACTTGACAAGGTTATCGACGCAACACAGAAAACACGCCGCAACACGCACTGGCCACTTCGGCTTGGCTTGAATTGGATTGAATCTCCTTGCAATAGTACGCTTGATGCTTAAGAGATGGCGCCAGATGGCGTGCACTATCATCATCAGTGGCTGGAAAGAGCAGACGACATTATTGCAGCAGTTTTTGGGGGTGCAATAATTACTCGAGGAAAAAAAGAAATCGTATTTTTGTTGGGCGATGTGGGGGGGTGCGAGAATTATGCGAGTGCGAGGATTACCCGAGTTAATACGGTACCTTGTATCTATACGTTCACATACTAGATATTTCAATTCTCTAAGCACTCCTTGAAGACTACAAAATACTGTAGGAAATGCATCACTATGTTGGAGTTCTGTTCAGTGAATGCCAATAATTTCATGCAGCTCCATGTACTACACCTGAAGCACAATAGGTGCTAAGCAGCCATTTACTTCAAAGGAGCAAGCTTGCTGAAAGTCTACATGATGATCAACCAATCTCAAGAAACTCTAAAAGTGACAAGTTGCTACCAGGGCCCCTTGGCAATGACTCCTGCAACAGCAGCTTACGGTGTTTCGAGAATTCAATAAAAAAAAAGAGGGCCAGGGGCTAACTTACAGGGTTTTAATGTCTCAGTGGTGTACTAGAGAGTCCGTATGGTCCCACAATGCCAAAAAATTCACTGTGTTCCGCCAACATTTTTGCGGAAACACATCATCTGCCCATTTTGATGTGTGCACACAATGTGCACACACCAAAAGTTTAGTTTGCAACTTTTTTGCTACAATTGGTAGCTTTATGTCTGGGAATCCCAAAATTGAATTTTAAATGTGCTAGTGCATCACATAATTAATGTTAACATCCTTCATTGAGAATAATCCTGTCAGTTCAAGACACCCCCCTCAGTACCATAATACAGAGCCCCATAGCGAGGCACTAGTTTGTGAGACTACGCCTGCACAAGCTTCGGTGATGATGATTGTGCCATTTTTAAATCAGGGGATACACACACAGTGAAGAACAAAACTGTGTGGATGCTTTGAGCGAGTCAACCTCAGAAAAAAGAAAAGCATTCTAGGCATAGGCAGCCAAGATCACCTTGAGAGAGACATGCAGACAAAGGAGCGAGTGGGGTGACAAACAAAAGTCTTCACCAGGCGCCAATCAGTGTGTTGTGTGCGACTCGCAAATCTTTGATGTCAATAATGCTCATCAAACTCATAGAATGTTACACGGGGCCTCTGTCTACGTCATACTAGCGGCGATGTCACGAGAGGCTGTCTCAGATGAGCGCTCACGCCTACTTTAAAACTAAACTACCTTAAACTGACACTGAATTGAAACGACTTGGTTTAGATTAATAAATGCTATTCTGAGAACTCTGTTGTTATGAATTTCACCATCATAATTTCATTATTAGAAGATAAAATCAAGGTGGATGTTTCATTTTTAAATTTCATGTCGAAATCTCCGCACATGACGTCACTGATTTCAGAATTTTTTTTTTATTTTCGCGACATTGGATTGATAAAATTTTCTGAAACTTCCCACGTTAGATCTATGAACCCTTCCAGATGACAACGTCCTTCATTTTTACCAATTAGGAACTACAGTCAACTCTAGCTAATTTAAACACGAAGGGACCTCTGAATTTTGTTTGAATTATCAAGAAGTTTGAATTATCAGAAGTTCTCAGATATGACTGTGGGTGAGGTGACATCTCACATTATGATTAGGCATTGATTTGTCAGATTTAAAATGTAAAATCTAACTGCAAGCAATGAACAGAAAGCAGAGGTGTAAGGTCCACAAATTTATCGGCCATTTACTGCTGATCATACCTTTTAAAAAAATCATGAATTGCCAACTGCTTCTTTGATATATGTGCCATCAGCACAAAGCTCTATACCAGTTGAGAAGCATCACGGTTTACCAAGCGTGTGCTTCATTTCAAACATTTGACTACTAGCAAAGCCTTTTTCTTTCTTGAAGGCCTGAGGTGCTTATTTTTCATTTCTAGACCGCTGGGATTATACCCAGCACATATTTAAATAGTAGTGGGAAAGCAGCAAATATTTTCTGGTATGGAGCCACAAAAGGTTTGAATTAACTGAAAGATGAAGTTTGAATTGGGAGCCTTTCAAAAGCATTCAAACAATGGAAGGCCAACCAAAAAATTAAGTTTTGTTTGAATTATCGCGAGTCTACTGTACGTGGGACCCCATAGATGTCAAAATCTACATCACAGTGTTCGGCGCGGGAATCTCAAGGTAGCGTCCTCACCTGCATTTTTTTTCTTGTGCGCTTTATCACTTACCAAACATCATCTCGTGATAAGAGTGGTGTTTTTGGGATTATCAAATTGCATTTTACTAATAGTATGAAAAAAAAAAATAGCTTTTCCTCTCAGTGTCCTTTCAAAGCTAATGTCCCCCAATCGGTAAAGAGTATACAGGGCACACAAACAACACAAATATCTTTAGGCCCTAATTTGGGTGCCAGGTGTTCTCTAAGCATGAAATGACAAGCGTCACATTTGCAGTTATGATAGCAAGAGGCCACATAAGCAGAGATGGACAGACCCAAGAAAAAAACAAAACAATGTAATGGCATGGCCAAATGCCAATGTTCAGCAGACAAATGACAATCAGAGGTACCGTGTCAAGTAACAACGATCGAGATGAGTTCAAAGACTCCACATTCTACTCCTGTCACTCAATAGGCACACAAGGATCTGCTAGAGCCTACCAGACAGCTTCAAAGAACAATGAATAACTTATCACACTAATACAATGAATGCTTTATAGCCAATTGACTAAACTGGTATGCTCAAGCACCATGTGTTTTTGTTACAGGTTTTTTTTTTTTTTCTCTGTGGAAATATGTGTACATGCGGTGTCAATTTTTTTTCTTTTTAGTCTTCCATGATAACTGTTGCCCAAATTGAGAGGAGATGCGAGTAAAAAAACGGAAGATTTTTCCCAAATTACGTATTTATTTTTATTGCTTTCACAAGTTCAGCTTTTCTACTTTCTCAACAAAGAAAAAAAACTGAGAATCGTAATTGAACTCCCCTGGAAGTGGTCACCTAGAAATGGTCACCTGGCTGTCTGCCATAGCATTTCATAAGAAGAGTTCACTAAAACCACAAGCTCAAAGTAAGCATGATTGCCAAGCTCTCATGATGGAAGAAATCTTAAAAAGTAAATCTTTTCTGTATTAAGGGGAGATGTGGGTCGAAAAACGCGAATTTTTTTCAAAATTAGAGATTTTTTATTTTCGCCTGTTTTAGTAAGATTAGTACCTCTACTGTTATGAAAAAAATAATACAGGTCGACACTTAACTGGAAATGCTTTAAAATTGCATCTAAAGAGCAACGGTACCTGTCAAAAGGTTGAAAGTGTGCAGTCTTCGAGCACCTTGCCGCCGATAATGCGCAGCCGCTCGCCATTGTTGATCGCATGAGTCGAAGAGCCGAGCCTCACTCTTCAAATACCAACAGTTTCTCTCACTGATGCAGTGCAAGAAATAAGAAAAATAAGCACTCTTCTGCGTGTTTTTCGAGCGCCGCGACTGGCTTATCACATGGTATGAATTGGGGACCGCCATTAGCCGCTGCGCGCCTGTATGTGCTGTGAAACCTATTTGCGGGGTCCATGTCTTGTCGAGCAGTGCAGCTGAGCAATGCTTTTCTCGTGTAATTATCTCAGTTATGAATGAAAAAAAAGCATTGCTCGCAAGTGAAAGCCGTTGTGCGGCGCACTCTGTAGGAATAGGCTACGAGCAGCTGGTCCGATTAGCGGCAGTTGTTGGCTTGCAAAAGCCAATGCATCTAAAGTCATTCACGCCCGTCAGCCGGAAAGTTCATGATGCGGCAATGGATGACGTCATCGCCAATCTTGAGTGGTCGAAAGAACTCGCAGTGAGAGAACTTAGCAGGGACGACATTGCCATTATGTACGACAGTATGTGGAACGCATGGCTGCAAAATGGCATGACACTGGACTTAGTTTGGATTTCGCAGTCCTGTCGAACTTCTTCCTAGTTTGCAATTGGCACAAGGCTCTGCCAGATGGAGCGGAAGTTTGGCAAGCGTTTCATGGCCCTGTGTGTGAGCGAAATGTCTGTGAGGAGTCGGCTCAAAAAAGCCGAGAGAGACAAACTCATGGTGCTGGCGTATTTTAGTCGCAGTGGCCACTACAAGAACGATTGTTCTTTTTGGTGTGCAAATTTCATCCGATTTAAGGTTATCTTTCATGAATA